CAGTTCCCTGGAGGCCAGAAATTCTTCTATCCATCCTGTAAAAGTGTCCACAAGTGTTAAGAGGTAACAGAGTTTTTTATGAGTAGGCATATGTGTGAACTCAACCTGCCAGTCTCTGCCCAGTTGTTGTCCACAAAGTAGAGACTGACATATGTGGAGAGCACCCTGTGGGTTGTCCTGGGCACATGTCTAGCAGGAGAAGTGAACCTGTAAAATAGAATCTTGGAGGTGAATGGGGTCAAAAAGGGGCTCCAAGAAGCAGAACAAGGCTTTGGGGCCTATGTGTAAGGTCTGGTGGATGTCTGAAATGACTGACAATGCCTGGTCTTGAGGGAGGATGAGATGGTTATTTAAATAGAACCATATTAGTGTAGGAGGTTATTCTGTCTATGTATTGCTTTCATTGGTTGAATAAAGAAACTGCCTTGGCCTTTTGATAGGGCAGCACTTATGCAGGTGGAGTAGAGAGAACTGAATGCTGGGAAGAAGGGCAGAGTCAGAGAGCTGCCATGGAGCTGCCAGGTCAGACATGCTGAATGTTTCCCAGTAAGCCACGACCTCGTGGTGACATACAGATTATTAGATATGGGTTGAATCAAGATGTGAGAGTTAGCCAATAAGAGGCTAGAACAATTGGGCCAGGCAATGTTTAAATGAATACAGTTTCTGTGTGATTATTTCAGGTGTAAGCTAGCCGGGCAGCTGGGACAAACAAGGGGCACCTCTCCCTACTACACCATCCATCCTTTGTTCTTGTGGGACCCCTTTTTATAAGCTCATCCCCCTCTTTAGGTTGGTAACAAGGCTGATAGGAGGGAGCTAAGAACAAAATATGTTCTGTGAAGTTTGAGGAGCTAGAGACCAGCCCCCAGGCCACTGAGTCAGCTTTGGCATTGCCTAAACCACTGGGTCCTTGGAGGATTGGTGTCCCTGACAGTGAATAATGGCTACTTCCACAGGGAACTGGAGGGCCTCCCAAAGGTTGGCTATAAAGGGTCCATTAACTATGGGAGTGCCCTTGGTAGTAAGGAAGCCCCTTTCCTTCCAGAGTGCAGAATGAGTGTGGGCTATTAAGAAGGCATATTTAGAGTCAGTGTAGATATTAGCCTGCTGGCCCTTGGCTATTTGGAGTGCCCTAGTCAAGGCAACTAATTCAGCCTTTTGTGAGGAGGTTCCCATTGGCAGGCAGGTCGCTTCGACTATGTCAGTGGAAGTGATCACAGCATATGCTGCCTGTCGGTTTCCTGATTTATCTATAAGGGAACTTCTGTCAACAAACGGGGTGAGTTGGGGATCTGTAAGTAGCTGGTTCAGAAGATCCAGCCACCTAGCCACTGTGGTGAGGTTAAAGTCTCTACAGCCTCTGGGCCAGCGTGAGAGGGGGTACCAGAGGGGAAGGGAACAGGAAGGAGAGTTGAGAGGTTTTGGGCAGGATTGGAAGCCAAAGTAATTTGGGGGTTTTCTAGAAACAGTAAGTGAAAAGCCTGGACTCGTGAAGGCCCAAGGAAGGAGAGAGAGGAGTATCTCAGAATGTCTGAAAGGCAATGAGTAGAATATACTATGATTGGCCCAGACAAGGTGATCTTGAGAGTCTCCCAAGTGAGTTCAGTTGCTGCTGCCAGGGCTCTCAGGCATGGTTGCCATCCACAGATAGTGACATCCAGCTCTTTGGATAAAAAGGCGACAGCCCGATTCAAAGGCCCAGCCTATTGGGTTAGAACTCCTGTGGCCACTTCTGACCTCTCATCTGTATAGAGATTGTAAGGCTCTGTGAGGTCTGGAAGAGCAAGGGCAGGAACTGTTAGAAGGCATCTCGCAGTAGAGAGAAGTGGTGATGGACAATGGCCTGGTGAGTAAGAGGCCCTGTGGGGGTCTCTCTGGCTGCCTGGTACAGAGGCTTGGCTGTAATAGAAAAGTTAGGGATCCAAGGGCGAAAGAACCCCAACAGACCCAAAAATGAGAGGATCTGATCCCCTGTAGTTGGAGGCTGTAAATTCCGCAATACCTGAACCCTGTCAGAGGTGAGGGTCTTAAACCCCAGGCTAGGTTGAACACCCAAATATACCACTGTAGGATAGCATAGCTGAGTCTTATTTGGTGAAACCTGATATCCCAGGGATTTGAGGAAGTTAAGGAACGCAGAGGTGGCCTATTGGGACAGACAATGTAGGACTGCAGAGAAGTTGGTCATCCACTTCTCTGTATAGAGATGGATATGGAGGAAAGTGCTAGAACCCGTGTCAAAATTTAAAAGATCTGGAGCCAGAGCTTGGCCAAAGAAATGGGGGCTGTCTCAGAAACCTTGAGGGAGAATAGTCCGCATGAGCTGTCTGGAGGACCGGGAGTCAGGGTCCTCCCACGTGAAGGCAAAAAGGAAGTATGAGTCAGGGTGTAAAGGGACAGTAAAGAAGGCATCTTTTAGGTCTAGAACTGTAAAGGAGGAGGTAGTAGAAGAGACGTCAGACAGGAGACTGTAAGTGTTGTTAACCACTGGATGAACTGGAACAACTGCCTCATTTATGAGGCAGAGGTCTTGAACTGGACGGTAAGTGCCAGAGGGCTTCCGCACAGGAAGAATTGGAGTATTGAAGGGCCAGTCGACAGGAATTAAAAGTCTTTGAGGTAGGAGATGGTGATAATAGGCTTAAGGCCTCGGTGGTGGGTTTCAGAAATAGGAAACTGAGGTCTGGAGGGGAAGAATGAAGGGTCTTTAAGGTGAACTAACACTGACTGGTGGTGAGTAGCAATCACAGGAATAGAAGTATCCCATACTTGAGGATCTACTAAGTAAGGGACAGAACAGTCTGGGGTAGGAACCTGAGAGGCCACTAAAATGAGAACAAAGTGTGACACAGGAGAGTGTGTGGGGGCTAAAGTGAGTGTGGTCCTGAAGCGGCTAAGGATATCTCGACCTAGTAAAGGTGCTGGGCAAGCAAGAATCACTAAGAAAGAACGAGAGAAAAATTGTCCTGCAAGAATGTAGGGCAGTGGCAAAGTTTTAAGTGAGGAAGAACAGGTCCCTTCTACCCCCATAACTGAAATTGGTGAGGGGAACGTAAGGCCCGAGTGAGATGTTAGAATAGGTAACTCCTGTGTCCAAAAGAAAAGTAATGGACTTACCCACTACCTGCAGCTTTACCCTAGGCTCAGGTAGGGTTACGGGATTTACCAAGTCTGGGCAGCGTCAATCCTCTGCAAGGCTGAGCAGTTCAAAGGCTGGCAGTTTCACTTGCCAATGTTGGTGAGGCTGGACCTCCGTGGCATGTCATAGAGGACAAGCCCACACAGGGGCATTGTGATTTCCCGTGTCCAGGTTGCTGGCAGATAGGGCATAGCCTCGAAGGAGGCATACTACAATATCGTACCACATGGCCATTTAGGCCACATTTGTAACAGCCTGCCTGTGAGGTTGACTTGGCTGGGCTCCACCAGGGTAGAACCTTGTGGTTGGCTTCCCTTGTCCCCCTTCCTGTGACCTTAGGGCAGCTGCTAAGGCCTAGGCTTGCAGATTAACTGCTTTGTGTAGCCTTGTCAGTCAGGAAGACTCAGCTGTTTCTCTCGGGCATTAAAAACTTTAAAGGCCATTTCCACCAATTCCTGTATAGGGGATTGGGGACCCTCCTCAGCCTTTCTTAACTTTTTCCTAATATCTAGTGCTGCCTGAGAAATAAAATGGACCAAAAAGAGGCATCAGATCGCCTGAAACAGGAATTGCAAACAAGTATGAACTGTCATGTGGGTGCTCAGAATCAAATCTGGGTCCTCTGAAAGAGCAGTATTTTTAATCCATCCCTGAACCACCTCTCCAGTTCTATGCAGATTCTTGGTCATTTATTCATTTTTGTTTTTTTTGAGACAGAATCTCACTAGGTAGCCTTGGCTGGGCTGAACTCAGAGATTCTCCTACCTCTGCCTCCCAAGTGCTGTGTAGACTACCCCCAACCGGATAAAAATTTTGTTTACATAATGTCTGCAGCCTTCTCTGAACTTAAGCGACTTGTCTTAAGGAGTCAACCCTTTCCATTTTCTCCATAATTATTGTTTTAAAATTAGCCAATCATGGCAGACTCCAGGCAATTGGGGGTGGGTGGTTTCTGCCACCTGTCCCTGTGTAGCTTGCTAACCCTGGGTGGGTCTTGGTGCACTCTTTCAACAAAAAGAATTGCCTTGCTGAACTGCTCCCCTTATTTCCTTGTTCCCTTGTGAGATTTCTGTTTGTCTAGCAATCTCCAGCACAGAATGAACATCAGTGAATCATTGGATATTCTTTAAACTAAGAGGCTCCCATCAGACAGTTCAGGCTAACTCTATCAAATCAGTCCAGTTGCACTTTCTTTGAAAGAGACGGTTCTTGCAAAAGTAAAAGTTGATACACATTCTTTTCAGTACACAGATCCGCGCGGACACAAACGGACACAAACACACTCACACACACACAGAGTGTAACTGAAGAGTGTATATATTAAATAGAAGGGACTGACTTTTTTGTTGTTGCTGCTGTTCTTTTGTTTGGTTGGTTTTTTTTTTTTGTTTGTTTGTTTGTTTCTTTTGTTTTTGTATTTTGAGACGAGACAGGGCTTCTCTTTGGATCCATGGCTATCCTGGAACTCGCTCTGTAGACCAAGCTGGTCTCGAATGCAGAAAGCCACCTGCCTCTGCCTTCTAAGTACCGAGATTAAAGGCGTGCACTACCACCGCCCGGACGTACTGACAATTTTAAAGGTGCCCTGCACCGGAAGGAAGACAGTACTTCCACACCCGCAACCGGCTCCCAAAGGTTGTCCACTCCTGTCCGCCCGAGGCGCTGAGCCTTTCGCAGGGTGGAGTGCTAATTGCCTGGGGACACTGTGCCAGAGGAAACCACTACAGGGAGCCGGGCGCAAAGTGTCCCGGAACCAAAGGCGGGCGGCGGCAGGGAGTCGGTCCGCCCGGTCTAGGGGAGGCGCCGGGAGCGCCCGCGGCGCGCGGCTCCGCCCTCCGCCCGCCTCCACAGCTAAGAGTCTGGAGCCGGCGTGTCGGCGTGTGCGGCTCTTTCTGGGTGAGAGGAAACAGCGGCGTCCTGCCCTCGGCCTGAGCGATGCTAAGAAGCTGCGCTACGCGCCTGCGCGCTCTTGGTGTCCCGCCTGCGAGGAGGCCCGGAGCAGTGTGGGTGAGTCGCGGGTCGCCCCGGTGATGGTGCGAGCCGGGAGGCGAGCGGGGAGACAGCCGATCCTCTGCTGTAACGGGGCGCCGGCTCCTCAGCCCTGAGATTCAAATCGGGAGATCGGGAAGGGAACGTAACTCGAGGTTGAGAAAGGTCAGCAGAGATAGGACCGCTACTGCTACTGATGTAATAAGAATGGTTAACAAGGTCATCCAAGAAACCTGTGTAAGAGCCAGCCATTATAGACCACTGGAGAAGAGCACTTACCCTTTCCAGGATCTAATCCTGATGGTCTCTGATTCATTATAACCAACAAGGGAAAAGGCTTCCGACTGTCAGATAATCAATTACGCCCTCTCTAACCCATTTTCATCATCTTAGAGGATGCTATAAGGTTAAATTAGATAATGCAAGGGAAGCGTATAGCATGCCTGGAATGTAAGTCTTAAATAATCCCCTGCCCTTATTTATATCCCTACTTTGTTTCACTGATGCGGTCAGTACTTGTTGAGCTCCAACAATATTCCAGGCATTGTTACACTCAGATCCGCAGAGTCCCCCCAAAACCAACAAGGAGACCGAGTCCCATTTGTAAAGCCAAAGAGCCTTTATTCTTATTCAAGTTCGAACTCCGACTCTCCGTGTCCAACTCATTGGTACTATCAGTGAACCCCGAGGTCAACTGGGGTGGGGTTTTTTATACTAGCAGAGTTTGAGGTGAGGGATTTCTAAGGTTCAGCACCCGTGGTTGACTGACATTTGTCTAGGGGTGCCCTGGTGAAATGGGGATAGGTATGTGCTGGACGTCAGATGATCCTATCTGCAATGGTTGGGACCATCCTTTGGATGGTCTGTTCCTGGGTGGTGCCTGAGTGGTCTCTGTTGAGCCTGTCCTGGCTGGGCCCTACATAATGGCCTGGCTGGCCATTGATAATTAGTAAGACATATTATAGTTAGATAAGGAAAAAGAAAAGAATTTTCCTCCCAAGGTCTAGTTTGGGAGAATGGAGTCAGTTTGCTAAATTCAAATGCCTGTATTTTGTTAAATACATGACTAAGGAACAACAGGGAACAGCTCTCTATTGAGCAAGAACTGAAAGCGAACTTTGGTTGTTAGATGACTGTGGCATCTCTCTCAAGCTGCTGCAGCTTCCTGCTAGATAGTAAGTGAGAACTGAAGGTATAGCTCAGTGGTGGACAGACACACACGTACACACAATTTTAAATGAATAATGAGTGCAGATTATTAATCAGGTACCATCTTGCCCACTAGAAAGGAAAATGCATTGTGCTAATTATACAACCACAAAGATGAATTAGTTTCTTTAGTTACGTGTTGGTGCCTGGCAGTCTGTGCTGGAAACAATTAAGCGTTAGTATTTATAGGCTCTACATCTTTAAGGAGGTATAAAAGGTCATAACTTTTCTTACAAGTCCAACCCTGATAAATCTATAACTAAAGATCAAGCATGACCTTTCCTCTACTGAGAACAAAGGGTAATGACCCTTGGATTCATCCTTCAGTCACGACTGTGCTGTAGGTTTACAAGTGCATTTACTGCAAGTAGCTCTTAGTTCTCGCCTCTTTGAACTGAAAACTGAGTTGTTTCCCACCAACATTGTCCATCTAAGGTAACTCAGCATCCCTCAAACCCGTTCTCTCTGACCCACACTTCCACCCTCACAAACATCTTTTTCTTCTAACCATGCCATCAAAGCCACAGCTCTGGAGTCACCCAAGACTCTAGTGCTTTCTCTTTCCTGAAGTTAGCAACTCCCGTTTCCCTGGGTTCTGGTGCTGACTGTCACTTAAACCTTTTCTTCTTATTCCTCCGTACCTAGTTGTGCTGTGGACCGTTCTGACCTAGACCTTTATAACAACCTTTGGCCTCTTTCCCTTTTCTTCTCACTGTTTTTTCACTTGATGAAACTTTCTGAAAACCAATGTTGTTCCTTTGCTGAAGGCTCATCATGGAAAAAGGCATTTCAACACTCAAGTATCACCTTCGTGAAATTTTTATATGATTGTCTTTTACTTAAAAAAAGAAAAGTAGTTTTAAAATTTCTGTGTGTTGTCTCATGTTCTCTATGTTCTGTAACCATATATGGCAGTGCCTACAGAGGCCAGAGGAGGGTGTTGGATCCCCTGGGAGTGGAGTCCAGACAGTTGTGAGGCCATGTGGGTGCTGGGAATCAAACCTGCATCCTGGTGCTCTTAACCACTGAGCCATCTCTCCAGCCCCATGATTGCCTCTTTAAGTAGCTTCATCCTAAGTAAAAATATTTGTGATGTAACAAGTGTGAAGTGCTACTCATGTTCTTCTGTGATATATATATATAAAGGATTTTATTATTACTGTAATTACATATTATGTTATATGTAATATTTAAATATACATCAGTGTTTGTCCTTGTGCTACCTAAAATCACCTTTCACACTAATTCTTTAAACCATTGATTGACCTAGAAGGTTAAATTTAAGACCTGTGGTGTGATTCCGCTTTTGTCTTGTCAATCTAGTGTGTCATGTAGTCATTTTAGTCTCTGTGTCTTTGCTTAGTGTAACCCTAGTTCTCACCTTCATGAACTTTAGCTGCAAGAAATCACTCTGGGTTTGTTGTTTTTGTTGTTGTTGATGTGTGTTGTTTGCTTATTTGCTTTTAAGTATTCCCTGAAAGCTCTTGTATCTCTATGTCTGTAGTAATATTTCCATATCTGAGACTACTAACAATTAAAGGCAGGGCCTAGATCTTTTCTTTTTGTCTTTCCTGTCCCTGGTATAAAAACAGGGCACATTATAGAACTTAAGGAAAAATTTTTGAATTATATTTAAAAGTTAAAATCAGACTGGGTATGGTGGAACACACCTTTGATTTCAGCACTTAGGAAGCAGAAGTAGGTAGAGCTCTGTGAGTTCCAGGCCAGCCTGGTCTACATAATGAGCTCCAGAACAGCTACATAGTGAGACACTGTCTAAAAAAAAAAAAAAACCTTCCATTGGTAGGAGAGCCCAGGAGTTCTTCTGATTGCTTTAAAAGTCTTCAATTAACTGTATTTCATTAGCCTATAAAAGGATCTTAGAACTGTTCCAAGCTGGGGTTTCTTATTTAAGAGTTCTGAGTGGAGCCAAGACACTTTGAAGACACCATGACTAAGGCACCTTATAGAAAAAGGCACATATTTGGGGTTTACAGCTCTGGAGAATGAGTTCATAACAATCATGGTAGGAGGCATGGCTGCAGGCAGGCATCATGCTGCAGCAGTAGCTGAGATTTTATTTCCTTACTGTAAGTAGGAGGCAAAGAGAGTTAACTGGGAATGATGTGAGCTTTAAAAGTCCCAGAGTCCTCCCCCATTGACACACCTCCTCCAAGAAAACCATACCTCCTAATCTTTCCCAAATAGCTCAACCAACTGGGAACCAAATATTAAAATATATGAGCCTGTAGAGTCCCTTCTCATCCAAACAGTCATTCTCCTCTTCCAGAGTGCCTCTCAGGATGGCTCACAACTGCCTACAGCTCCAGCTCCAGGTGAGCCAACACCCTCTTCTGGTATCCACAGGTACCCGCACACACATTGCCTACACTCACACAGACACGTACACAGAAATGAACTGAGCATGGTCATTTGAGTGGGTAACACTGTGGCAGGTAGAGATAGTAGGATCCCCAGAGCTTTCTGGCCACCAGCCTAGTTCCAGGTTCAATGAAAGATCCTATGTCAAAGGTATAGCAGAGCAGCACGTGAGATATCCTTCACATGTATGCCAAGTACACCCAAGTAGACACATGCACATATACCATACATATACACACACATGTGCTGATACGAAGACTAAGAACACAGAAAAGTGAATACTAAATAATTTTAAATGGTGACACAGAAAATTTATTTCTCAGATTAAGAGTATATTAAGGAAATTTTTATTTGAAGAACTCTGGGAATTAAAAAAAGCTAATGTCATAGAAGCAGAAAGTACTGATTACTAGAGACTAGAAAGGGGAGAGACAGGTAAGGGTAGAAGGAATATAGAGGCTGAATAACCAATATCAAATATAGTCACATGAGTATAAACACCACAGCACAGGTGGGTGGTAGTTATAGTTTACAGTGGTTTATTATATAGAGGTATGTTCTTTTGGGGGGCAGGTAAAATTGGTGTTCTACCACTGAGCTGTATCCCCAAGCCCTATTATATACTTGTGTGGCACACCCATGCGTACAGAGCCCAGGACAGGCTGTCAAGTATTCCTCCTTTATCACTCTGCACCTTACTTTTGCCTTAAGACAGAGTCTTTCATTGATGTAGAAACTGAATATTTTGGCTAGGCTGTCTGGCCACCAAGCTCTTATTTACCTGTCTCCACACTCTCAGTGCTGGGGTTACAGGCACATTCAGCCATGGCCAGCTTCCATGGGTGCAGGGATTTAAACCCAGGTCCTCGTGCTTGCAGACAAACACCTCTCACCCAGAGCCATCTCCAAGCCATCTCCCCAAACCCCTACTATATAGTTTATAAAGGAAAAGAAAGACATTTGAGAGTTACTAGAACCAAGAAATGTTAGATGTTTAAAGAGATGAAAATGTGCCAGGAATGATGACACACACCTTTAATGCCAGCACTCGGGAGACAGAGATAGGTGGCTCTCTGAGTTCAAGGGCAGCCTGGTCTATACGTTGAGTACCAAACCAGGCAAGGTTACATATAGTGAGACCCTATCCCGAAATAAATAAATAAATAAATAAGAGAGACAGCAGAGAGAGGGTGGAGGTACTGTGCTTGCAAAATGCAAGTTGGGTAAAGGTACCTGCTATCAATCCTCAAGACATGAGTTTGATCCCACAGTGGAAGAAGAGAAGAGATTCCTGCAAAGAGCTAGTATGGTGTGATGCACACCTTTAATCCTAGCGCCAGGGAGGCGGAGTCGGAGGCAGGCAGATCTCTGTGAGCTCAAAGCCAGCCAGATCTACATAATGAATTCCAGGCCATCCAGGGCTTTATAGTGAGACCTGATCTCATAAATAAATAATAAGACTCTCAGACAGGACACAGTTGTACATACCTGTGATTCCACATTTGGGAGGCAGGAAGATCACAGACTTTAGGCCGGCTTGGGCTACATAGCAGCACCCTGTCTCAAAAACAAAATGAAATAAAACTTTTGTTTATTTTGTGATTGTATTTTAAATATTTAAATACATTTCTCCCTTCCATTTTACCCTGTAAGCCCTCTCATATGATGTAGCATGAATTCTAATTGGTCTTAATAATAAAAACCCATAGTCAGATATAGGGGGGCAGTGAAAGCTGAAAAATCAAAGAAGCAGAGTGGCCAGCCTTTAGTTCCTCTCTCTATGAAATCCTCAGACCTATTGGGGTATTCTGTCTCTACAAGTCATCAGACTTGTAGAGCTCGGAGCTCCTGTCTCCTCCCGCCTAACGTTCCTCTCTCAGCCCAGCCACATCACTCCTGTCTCCACCTCCCTAGTGCTGGGATTAAAGGCACGGGATCCCAAGTCCTGGGATCAAGGCCTCTGTTTCTCTTTTAGACTGATTCAATCTTGTGTAGCCCAGAGTGGCCTTGAACTCACATATCAGTCTGCCTCTGTCTCCCCAGCGCTGGGATTAAAGGTGTGTGCCACCACTGCCTGACCTCTATGGCTAACTAGTATGACTAGCTTTGCCCGCTGATCTTCAAGCAAGCTTTATTTGTTAGATGACAAACTAAGTATCACCACAAAGTACCCTCCTCCCTCTCCTTTAAATTCACCTCTTTTATCATCAGTTGTTCTTGTATGCTTATATGTATTTATATATTCATACATAATCGCAGATATAACTGTTGAGTCCATGTAATATTACTTGTCTGCATGTTTCAGCACTGACTGTTCGGGACTGGAAAACCAATTGGTGTGCTCTTCCCTGGGGAGGACCGCCTCTTCCTCCCAATCCCAGTTTTACTCAGTTGCCTGTGGTTCTCTGTGGTCACTGTGTAGTTTAGCATGTCCATTGCTGCCATCCTTGTTCAGCTCACGTTGGGCAGTCATGTTGGGGCGACATTACTGCTATATACTAGGAAACACAACCTCATGGCAAAGTCCTGGATCCTCTGGCTTTTGCCATCTTTCCACTCCTTTAAAACTTTTCTCAATGAAAAGTAAAAGAATAGATATAGTGTGATTTATTACTCTTTTAGCTTTTTGACTCTTGGTGGTCCACTACCCAACTCCCAAATAAATCATACGTGGACGCTTACTCTTAGTTATAAATGCCTGACCTTAGCTTGGCTTGTTTCTTTCCAGCCTTTCTTAACTAATTATTCCGACTACATTTTGCCCTGAGCTTTTCCTTTTCTTACTTCTGTATATCTTACTTTTACTCTTACTCCATGACTGGCTGGGTAGCTGGCCCCTGACGTCCTCCTTCCCTTGTTCTCTCGTTGCTCCTTCTTCGCGTCCAGAGGTCTCCTTCTGTTTATACTCTCTGCCAGCCCCCCCCATCCTTGCTCTTGTCTCTCTATTGAACATTTAGCGCTTTATTAGGACCATCAGGTGTTACAGATAGGCAACGAACCACAGCTTTACATTTGCCTAAGCAAATGAAGCATAAACAACAGTCACACACCTTAAAATAATGTTCCCCCAACAAACAGATAGCAACTTCAATGGGCATGAGCAGTATAAAAAGAGGGAAAAAGTCTGCTGAATGACGTTTACAATTTTGAAACTATGCAAGGTTTTTGCTGCCAGAGATTTGCCAGGAAAAATGTAAGTGAACTACCATGACAGGGTAAATCAGGATGCAGTGCAGTGCGTGAAAAGAGCTTGCATGAATGCATCGATATTTTCCCACAATTTTATTTAGAGGGAGAAATAATGGGCAGAGTTTTTCTGCCTTTCCCAGTTTTTCTGTCTTTCCTAGATTATCTAAGCTGGATTCTGAAGGGATAAGCTGGTCAAAGAGGCATAGAAAATGAAGTTACCTATCCTGAGCTACAGGCAAAATGTTATTTCTGTTTGATTTCTCTAGTACCACAAAATCAGGTACTTCCATCTCCATGGAAGGGTTGTTGTTGTTGTTGTTGTTGTTTTTACATTTTATTTGTGAATAGAAGTCGGGGGACAACTTTGTTAGTTCTCTCCTCCCACTATATAGGTTCCAGGGATCTAATTTAGGTCATCAGGCTTGGTGCAGACGCCTTTACCCAGTGAGTCATCTCACTAATCCAGTGTTTAATTTCATAGAGTGCTAGAGACAGGCTCCCTCTGTTCTTCCTATTGAATCAGGATTGGAGCCAACTAAGGCATCAACAGAAGTCTGTTCTTCCACCAGAGAGTAAGCATGGTGTCTCGATGTCAGGGGTGTGGTCCAAGTCAGACATACGTACATCAAAATGAATTGATAATGGTGACTAGAAGGAGAATGCCACATGGTTGATGCCTTCTTTAATCTTAACTGTCCTGAGATTTCTGCTGGCCTTCCCTGTCTGCTCCCTATGAGCATGTTTTATGCTCTTCATAGATGACACTCTGTCTTCCTAGTCCTCTACATCTCAGTAGTTGACTAGAATGGTGGCAATGCTCAGTGCTCCAGAGAAATATCATGAGTGACAGTCATGGTTACCATGACACCAGTCTCTCTTCTCTGAGCTTCCTCCTTGTCCCTCTTGTATTCTTTCTTGTAATTAACTGTCATTTACTCCATGGTGCCTGCCATTCATACACCAGGGATTGTCCATAGTGTTTATCCTATTCCTTCATTTGCTTTATGGAAGTAGTCTCTTGAGTTCTGCTTTATGATCTAACAATTCTTGCTGAGTTACCCCAATAGCCTCCAAGTAGAATCCTCCATGTAATCTTGAACATTACCATTCTCTTTCCTGTTATGGCCAAATCTGAGCACGTCACTCCCTGCTTAAATAATCGGAGAGTGCTGCAGATAGAACTCAAACCAGTTAGCTTAGCATTGAGGCTTTGCCTATACCTCCGTATCCTTCTGCTCCTTCTCTTACACTGCACCTAGCTTCTTTTAGACCTTAATTTTATCATCTGTACAATGCAGACAATAGTTTCTATTGCACAGAGTAATAAAAACTTTCAAAACTGTCTCGTGCCTCCTTACGTTTGCACACACTGATTTTGTTGTTGCTATTTGGTTTATTGGTTTTATTTTTACATATGCTACTCTTTCCAGGTGGCTAATTTCCACTTATCAATATTCAGGTCAAAGCCAAATACTACCATTCCCTTGTGTTCCAGCTTCCTGTGTGTCATAGTTAGGGTCTCTATTGCTGTGAAGAAGCACCATGACCACAGCGACTATTATAAAGGAAAACATTTAATTGGTGTGGCTCACTTATAGTTCAGAGGCTCAGTCCATTATCATCATGGTTGGGAACATGGTGATGTGTAGGCATACATGATACTGACAGAGTTGCCGAGAGTCCTACGTCTTGCAGGCAACAGAAAATGGTCTGAGACACTGGATGGTATCCTAAGCATAGGAAACCTTAAAGCCTACCCCCAAATGTGGTGACACATTTTCTCCAACAAGGCCATACCTACTCCAACAAAGCCACACCTAATAGTGCACTCCCTATGAGATTATGGGAACCAATTACATTCAAACTACCACCCCATGTATATCTCACCTGTCCATCTCTCTATCTCTGGTGACTGGCTCACCTTGGCTTAATACTATCTGTACCAGTAACTAGCTGAGAGAAGTTGGGAAAATCGTTGACCCTTTGTCCTTCTGTCATTTCTATGAAGGGGTGTAGGTCAAATGAGCTCTGAAGTTCCCAGCCACTTTGAAGTGATCATCTTCTAGCAGTAAGAAAAGCAGCACGGTAGTCTTAGGAAGTTGTAGAAAATATGAAATAGCACATATCTCCTATTCTTCTTTGTCTTTTAGAGGTTATTTTCCTCTGAGAAAATCATTCCCAAGGACTACGGTCTCCCAAACCCCAGTTGGAGCAAGGACCTGAGACTCCTCTTTGACCAGTTCATGAAGAAATGTGAAGATGGCTCCTGGAAACGTTTGCCTTCATACAGACAAAGTTCTACTCAAACCCTTAAAAACTTTCAAACCCGTTTTGTTGGTAAGAACAGCCACTTTCCCATAAGTAATATTTGAAAATCAATGTAAAGCATAACAGATTAAAGCACTAATTATTACTTAAGAGAAGGAAGAGCCAGACATGGTAAGTCTTCCATGTGTGTAATCCTCTCAGTAGGCTGAGGCAGGAAGATCATGAGCTCAAAGCCAGCTTGGGTCACAATGTCCCATTCATGACCAGCAGTGGCTACATAGTAAGACCCCATTTCAGAGTGGGGAGGAAGGGAGTGACAGGAAACAGAGCAAGGAGGGATTGAGAAGAGAAAGAAAAAATAAGGGAAATGGGAAGGAGGTTAGGAAGCAATAGTACTGTGGGTTCTGTAGTCCCCATTGTCATAGGCCAGAAATCCACGAAATTCTGTGGGTTGTGAGAGAAAAGAAAACATCAAAAATAAGATGATCCCAGGCGGTGTTGGCGCACGCCTTTAATCCCAGCACTTGAGTTCAAGACCAGCCTGGCCTACAGAACGAGTTCCAGGACAGGCTCAAAAAGCTACACAGAGAAATCCTGTCTTGAAAAAACAGAAACAAACAAGCAAACAAAAGGTCTTAATTTTAAGCAAAAAGTGGTGGCGCAGGCCTTTAATCCCAGCACTTGGGAGGTAGAGGCGGGTGGATCTCTGTGAATTTGAGGCCAGCCTGGTCTACAAGAGCTAGTTCTAGGACAGCTAGAACTGTTACACGAGAAACCCTGTCTCGAAAAATCATTAAAAAAAAAATCCTCCCAACCTAGAATCTTAAAGCTGACATCATCAATCTCTTTTCTCTTTATTTCAAAATCTGGCCTCTTCCCTTTGATAAGATCAGAACACTTGAATTACCCTCTGTCTTAGGATTACTATTGCTATGATGAAATGCCATGACCAAAAGCAAGTTGGGGAGGAAAGGGTTTATTTGCCTTCTACTTCCACATTGTAGTCCATCACTGAAGGAAGTCAGGACAGGAACTCAAGTGGGACTGGAACTTGGAGGCAGGAGCAGAGGCCACGGAGAGGTGCTGCTTATTGGCTTGCTCCCCATGGCTTGCACAACCTGCTTTCTTATAGAACACCAGGCTAAGGGTGGCATCATCCATGAGATGCTGGACCCTCCCTCATCAGTCACTAATTAAGAAAATGCCTTACAGCCAGATCTTACAGAGGCATTTCCTCAACTGAGGCGCCCTCCTCTCTGATGACCCTAGCTTATGTCAAGTTGACATTGTAGCTAATGTCAAGCTGACATAAACTAGCCAGCACACCCTCTAATCTCTCAGACTTCAAACCCAAAGACAACCTACCTCATACCTAACACCCACAAATTACACTTCCCGTCATTCTGGGTTGTTTGTTTGGTTTTATTTTTAACACGCTTTGTATTAAATAACTATTTTAATTAATTCTCTGAGAGTTTACACAATATTTGATGACTTCTAATTAGCCCTTAATGTTTCCTGGCAGCCTGTCCCTGTTTCCCTAGTCTACTGACCCTGCTCTTCTGGATGCCTGCGTCCTGCTTCCTTTCCACTCACACCTCTAGTTCTTCCCCCCTCACTCTCAGCAGGTCTCCCTCCCTGTTTCAGTAAATGTAAGTGGAAGCCAGCAGAAGGGCATTTCCAAGCTCTCCTCACTCTTGTCCCCTCCTCCCTGTACCCGAGCTTGATCTGCTTCTAACCTGCACGAATGAACTGACCATGAATAAAGGTCGTTGCGCTGTGTCCCCTTCCCTTGGCCTGCTTGTGGCGTTGCTCCCTGCCATATCTTTCTCGGAAGCAGGCAGACCTGCCACAGCTGTGTTGCTCATCCTAGTCTCTCGGGAACACTCCGCCACCAGACTCTCATGGGGTGCACCCATTTCTCAGTACATAATAGTCATCATCATTGTAAGCCCCTTCGATCTCATGGCCTTAGGAGCCATTGAAAAGCTGATCAGTTCTTGATTTAATCGTTGGAACTTCAGGTCCTGGCTTGCTTTCTGTTGTTGTAAACACCGTGACTTAAAGCAAGTTGAAAAAGAAAGAGTTTATTTTATGTTTACTTTTTACAAGCCAAAATCGTGAAGGGAAGCAGGAACTCAGGCGGAAGCCACAGAGGAAGGCTGCTTCCTGACGGCTTACTCTGCATGGCTTGTTCAGCCTGTTTTCTTACACCACCCAGGACCCAGGGAGCTGGGTCCTCCCCAACCCATCACTAATCAAGAAAATATCCCCCAAGCTTGACTGTGGGCAGAATGATGGAGGCTGCCCCTCCATCGTTAAGGTTTCCTCTTCCCGAATGACTTTAGCTTGTGTCAGATTAACAAAGATACTAACCACCGCACTTAGTCTCGCAAGTTTAGGTTGAAATTCTGGTTCTACGCAGCATAGAAATCTGTGTGAGTTTGGGCAAAATACTTTATCCTCCCATGCCTTGGTGTTCTCATGGCTGAAGGAATAAATGAAACAAAATTCAAATTACTTTATGTAGTGATGGGTTGCGGGCAGGCCTGCTTTTCATCCTGCCCAGCTCCCGCACGGCTAGCTTAGTCCCAGAAATAACAACACATAAGTTGTATTCATTTAAATACTGCCTGGCCCATTATCTCTAGAGAATTAGTTACTGGCTAACTCTCACATCTTGATTAACCCATCTCTAATAATCTGTATCACACCACGAGGTGTGGCTTACCGGGAAAGATTCAGCATGTCTGACCTGGTGGCTGGCTCCATGGCGTCTGGCTCATAGCCCTCTTCCCAGCATTTTGTTCTGTTTACTCCGCCTACCTAATTTTCTGTCCTATCAAGGGGCCAAGGCAGTCTCTTTATTGACCAATGAAAATAACACAATAGACAGATAACCCTCCTCCATCAACTTTAACCAAAAATAGTTGATCATTTTCAGATTTCTGTCTCTTCAGCCAGAGCCAAGAATTATTCTTTTATCAATAAAGGAAAAAGTTAACTTTTAAGTAGGTTGCATTATTAAATTTTAACTATTATAAATTACTTAAAGGTAAATTTTCATGCTGGATATGGTAGAGGATGTCTATAGTTTTGATCCTCAGGTGGCTCAGACAGGAGGATGAGAGTTTGAGCCATCCTGGGCTACACGGTGAGACCCTGTTCTAACTGAAACCAGCCCCACCCCAGTCCACAGGATTAACTGTAGATGACTTGGCTGGTGCACCCAGAGCCCTGGGTCTAATCGCTAGCACTATAAAAGTGGTGTTGTTGTTTTTACTACAGTTATTCTGACATCACACGATTCATTGAATGCCCTTAATGCAGCCTGGCTTCTACCTGCTCAGCTTTGCGGGAATGATATATGTATGGAAACTGTCACTGGTCTACATGCCAGTTTTGGTAGGCATTATTCATTTTATAGTGTAAAGTTGGCCTCCATCAGAGCCCTCCTCCCACCAGGAGTGCCAATCTTCCGGTGTTCCTTTACAGCCGCAGCGCTCTTCTGTCTTGGGTTTTAACCCAGATGTGAAACCCTGCGAATCTTGTCAAAGAATAGATTCTGCCTCAGTTAAACAGGGGTAGACACTCAAATTCTCTTAACAAATGTGTTTTACTTATTTTTCCCATTTTTATAAGCTACCTTATAATTTGATAATCTTGACCAGATATGTTAAACTCTTAAGTTGATTTCAGGGCCACATAGTTCTGACACAAAGATGGTGATTTATTAGGCTAAACTAGCTCTGTTTCTAATTCAGGATAGCAGGGTAAATTCACATCTGCCAGGAAAACCATTTCCTTACTTTCGGATTGTTCATTCTTGCTAAATTCTGTTAAGCCACACTTGAGCCCCACTACCATTGATGTGCCAGATTCACTAACTGCCATGTTTATGTAGGTACTTTGGTGTTTTTTTTTTACTCTGTCCGTGTATGTTTGCATATATGCTTTTTTGATGTCCCAGAAAGTTTGCATTGTGTTATATTCTGTTCATTTTGTTTGTTTGTTTTAGTTTTAGTTTGTTTTGAGAGGTTTATGTAGTCCAGACTGACCTCAAACTCACCATGTAGCCAAGAATGGCTGTGAACCTCTAATCTTTCTGCTTCTACCTCCCAAGTTCCAACATTACAGCCATGCACTACCACACACCGTTTTATGTGGTGCTGGGGCGTAGGAACCCAGGGCTTTGTGCCTGCTAGGCAAGCACTCTGCCAATTAAACTCCATCTCTAGCCACTGTTTCTTGTGACCTTTCCATTCCTTTCTTTGACATTCCAATCAGTTATCTATCCACATATGATTTTAGCAGGGCACAGGTGCTTAGTTCTGTCATGTGTTTTTCTGTCTGTTTTTTGCCCTCCTGTCCCATACCCTTATTTTCTTTACAGACCCCAGGTTTATGAATGAAGAACAAATGTCAAAGGCCCAACAGTTCAGCAGAAGCTTAGAGGAAGGCCTGGGCTTTGAGTATGCGTTGTTCTATAATAAAGTGGAGAAGAGGATGGTTTGCTTGTTTCAAGGAGGTCTTCACCTGCAAGGGGTACCTGGGTAAGAGCTCTCCTAGCAGCATGGAGCAGACAGGGTTTTATTCTCACATATTCAGGGACTACAAAGACAACGTTAAAAGGCCAATATAAATACATATTTATTGATATAGAAAGATGCTTATAACACACTAGTTGAATATTATCTATGTTAAATTTCAAAATTTTGACATAGTATTAAATGACGCATATAACATATTATAGAACCTAGAGCAGCAGAGTACGGTGAACGTGTTTGCAATGCTTTGCCATGGCTTGATGGTAGTGTTAAGAGGTGTCTTCCTTCTATTTATCTGCACTTCCTAAACTTTAAAGATTCCTTTTATTATTATTATTTTAAACTGTGTGTGTGTGTCGCACGTGCGCACATGTGCACATGTGAGTGCCGGTACCAAAGGAATCCGGAGGTGTTCAATCCTCCTGGAACTGGAGTTGCAGGTAGTTGTGAGCCACCCAGTGTGGATGCTGGGAACTGAATTTGGGTGCTCTGCAAGACTATGTGCTTTTAATTCTTGAGCCCCACTTTCTAAACTTTTAAATGTTTTCTAATTAAAGTTTAGCTTTTCGTTCTATAATATGATCAGTACCAAACTCCAGTTTTATTACAAGTATCCTTTCTTCTAAGAATAAAGTAAGGAGATGTGTGTGTGTGTGTGTGTATACACATATACATATATATATATATATATAAACATTAAATACACTGAACATGAGGTAAATGTATAAAGACACTCAAATAATTTATATCTTGAGAAACTATTTCCTGACCTTCTGAAACTTTCTCTTCTGCTGCTGTTGTGGGTAGATTTGTTCATGGAGGTGCCATTGCAACCATCATTGATGTTACTACTGGCACGTGTGCATTTGCTGAGGGAGTTGCCATGACAGCCAACCTCAACATCAACTATAAAAAGTAAGTCCATGATAGTTCTCCTTATGTTCTTAAGTCAGATTCTCCAGCAGCAGATCCTGAGTCACTAGCAAGGGAGATGGAGAAGCAGGACAATGAGGAGGCCACCAAGCCTCAGCTTTCAAAGAGTAGCTTCCACCAAACTGCACAAAGAAATTCTGGGAAGAGAGAGTCATGCTTCAGAATCATTCCTTCCATCAGTAACTGAACTCTGTTCCAGTTATAGGATGGGAACTGCCCTGGCTGTCTATGTTTGAGTAAAGCATCACCCAGGAAATAATTTCTTTTTATTTTTTTATTAATTTGTATACATGTGAGAAAAGGCGTGTGTGCCATGTTGTGTATATAGAATCAGAGCACAACCTGTAAGAAGCTGTCTCCTTCTAGCATGTGGATCCCACAGATTACAGACAAGCCATCAGGCTCAGCAGCAAGTGCTCCAGCCAGCTGAGCATCTCACAGTAAGATCTGGATGGAGTCCAAATAGTCCCTACATATTAAAAAAGAGAGAGAAAGGGTCCTCCTAACTTTACACAGAGAAATGAGTGGAAATAAGATGAGTTTGATTTGCATCAGAGGCAAAGTTCAACGTGATCGTCACCATCCAGCTACACTCCCACACCAGACAACAGAACAGCTTCTAGCAAGGACTAGAGAGTGAGCTATAGGTCAACAACAGAGTGTAAGAACAAAGGCTTCAAAATATGAAGTCTCAAGGGAAGCTTGGGGGTTACCACCACAAACATATAGTACGTAAGTTACTAAACATCTCCCCTTTACATATCACAAAAGCCGTATTACTTGAGTACTAGCTTTTGGAAGCCATGCTTCATCGGTTTTAAGTTAATTTTCTATAGATAATACATAGATGTATTAGACTAGCTTCATCCTATAGAAAAGTTTATTTCAGAGGTCAGTAGACATTTTCTGTTAATATTTTATATATGTGGTCTGTGTAGTGTGTGACACAGCTTTTCAACCCAGCCATGAAACTATAGGAGCAGCTATAGATAGTGCATAAGAATAACTGTGGTCCAGTAAAACTGACTTAGAAAGAAGAATAGCCAGTGGGCTGGAGTTTGCCAAACCCAGAGGTCCAGTTAGAAAAAAGACAGAGCTGTTTGCCTTCTTTTGTAGTTCCCCCTGTCCCTTACCTTCCTTCAAACAAAAACAGAGAATTGTTACTTTAATTTCTTCCTCTCTAGTGGCCAATAATGGTAACTTCGAATTAAAGTTAGGCAAGATTGAAATTTATCATCTAAAAACAGTCAGGAAAGGATGTCCTCAGCCATTCAGGCCCCCACAGATGTGGGTCTACATCTACTCTCTTGCAGATATCCAGTTTTTCTATTTATTAAAGAGATTGTATCTTACCCATTGTGTTTCTTGACACCCTTGTCAAAGGTCACCTCAGTTGGTAAAGTTCTCTCTCGCTGTGCGTGCAGAGGGTCTGAGTTTAGAACCCCAGCACCCACTCTAAAAAGAAGTTAGGCATAGCACCATATAACTGTGATTCCAGTGCGGGGAGGTGGCTTGCTGACCAGATAGTCTAAGCAAGTCAGTGACCGCTAGGTTCAGTAAGACCCTAAATAAAATGGAGAGTGGCCCCCATTTTCTCCATGCAGTCTCTTACACTCAGATATGCTCACCACACAGGAACATAGGCTGTATGTGAGTGGGTTTGTGACTGTGTTTTAATTATCTGGCCTTGTAAGATATCCTGAGATCAAGTAATATTTAACTCCAGCTTTCTTCTTTCTCAAGATTGCTCTAATGGGTTTGGTTCTGTTCCCACATACGTCTCAGAATTGCCTTTTTAATTCTATAAGGAGAAAACAAAACAATGACATTGGAACTTTGAGGGCTGCAGCCTTTTTACTTTTAAGAAGCAAAACCTCACCTTAGCCATCTCAGTTTCCAGCCAATCTATCTGAACTTTTTCATTGTCTCTAAATACATTGAGGACAAAACAGTTGAAAACTGATGGTACTGAAAGGGGAGGTGTCTGAGCCTATAACCTCTTCATGACATATCAGGCCGGAAGCTCACCACTGGACTTCCCGATTCTATGTGGCAGAAAATAATACTCAAGGATATTCTTCCTTCAGCATAAGCAGATTCTACATCAAATACATGCATACATACATACGTGCATACATACATAAGAGTGAGTATTGGGCTGGAAAGACAGCTCAGCAGTTACACCCATGTTGGGTGGCTCCGACATCCTCCTTTGGCCTCTGCAGGCACCTTTACATACATGGCATACACCTGTATAGACATATAAACAGAAATAAAAGATGAAAGTACTTTTTTTTAAAGTTTTAAAGATTATCAGCAAAAGCAAAAACAAACTTAGATCCTCAAGGACTTTAGCTGTCCTCATGGGATAACCAGATGCACATAACCATGTGAGACGCTCAAAGACTTTAGCTGTCCTTGTAGCCAGATGCACACGACCATGTGAGATGCTCAAGGAAATGAAAGGAAAAAGAAAGTAAAGGTTACTAATTAGATTTATTGTGCAATTCAGTAGAACTTTGATATGAAGGCAGAATTATTTAAAGAGCAAAGGGGCTTAGATAATACACTTGAAAGTGACCAGAAACGTAGAACTAAGGAAATGAACCTGCAGTCACAATGCCCGTGGAGCTCAAAACCTTTTCTTTGAATCTGTTTAGAAAGTCAGGCTGGGCAGAGATGGCACACACCTTTAATCCTGGAGCTCGGGGCGCAGAGGCAGAGGTCTCTGAGTTCGAGACCAGCCTGGTCTTAGAGTGAGTTCAAGGCCACCAGGCCATACAGATAAACTGTGTCTCAAACCACTCTCCCCTCCCGGAGTGGCATGTCTGTCTCTAACCGCCACACGAAGGCTATGGAAGTGAATCCTTAGTGCCTGGGAAGTCATTCTTTAATGCTCGTCCACTACAGTTACTTAAAGCAGAGTTTGCTCCTTCTCTTTGAAAGAAACAGAGGAATGGGTGGGGGCATCCCTAGCTGTATGTCTTTTGTTCCCTGGGAGTTTAGGTTACATTTGTTCTTTCTCTACCTTTCAGCAGTTCAGATCAGCGTGTAGCAGTTGGTCTCACACTCAGCAAGCTTGCTCCTCTAAAATGTACAATTAAACCCTGCCTGTGTTTGCCCTGAAAATTCACTCATGGCCTTTATCATCTCACAGCCAGTGAAACCTCAAATCACTCCTCACCACAGACAGTCCTCCTTTGTTAAGATTTGTTCCAGATCCCACACAGCAGGCTGTGTGCTCCGTGGTGGTGGTCAGCGATACTCACCCACTCCGCTATGTCAGTGAGACATCAAGTGTACTCCACAATTTTATTAACATGTCCACCGCAGTTAAACCAATGGCAGATACACCAAGTGTAAATAAAGAGGAAAAGCAGAATCCAGTCAGATTGACATGGATTCAGTTTGATACAGCGTTGGCTACTCTCTGACCCTCAGGTGGCTCATCCAATAAGAGATGAGAACACTTTTTCTAGAAGGCTGTTAGGACTACTGATGTGTTCAGAGCTGGCAATTTAATATGTTTAATGGTAGTTTGGAATCATTTTAAGAATAAGGGGAGGGAGAGAGATGCTTTGAATCCAGTATAGAGAGAAAAGGAGTTGAGATATAATGGAAACAGATCAAAACTCTAATAAGAAACAGTAGAAAAAAATGGTTTAAAAAATACAATAAATATCAATTAGAATAAATGACAGTAAGGCATTATATTGTTATAGAGAAGTTAGTTATACAGTCCTAAAAAGCACCAGAGACAAAAGAGCACACGTAGGAGAGCTGTTTCCAGAAGCAAGAGGGCGCCATTACCCTAGCAATAAACCCATAGCTGCAGAAGAGGCTCCACAGCATACTGGGCCAGCTCGGAACCATGGTCCAGCATGGTTCAGAGGGCAAAGTCAAGTTGTTTTCATTGAAACAAAAATTAAGAGAGGTTGTGGAAAACTAGGGCAATGTCCATGGAACATACAGAAAACTACAGAAGGAAGGAAAGCAGTGACGGAAGACAGCGTGAGCAAACACATGGTCTGTGTGCAGGACATGGGACTCACCTGCAAGGCTATGTCTACATCTGGAGAGCAGCAAGAAGCTAAAACACTAAAACAAGACAGAGCTGGGGAGAAGGGATGCCTTGTATTTTTCAGTAGTGAATGATAATTAATTAATTTTTAGTAGTGAGCAAAAATTAAAGTGAGTGATAATTAATACAGAAAGCAATAGAAAAATACAAATAGAAATACAAATAGAAAAGTACAAATAAATAGGAAAATAACTCAATTTTTAAAACAAGAAAAAAGTTCAGAAAATGTGAATCAAAGAAAAAGCAAAGTAAGATAGTACCAGAAATAAGTCAGTGCAATGACTGACCAAACATCAGTCCAAACAGGTTATAAGATTGAAATTAATATAAAGATCTGAGAAACATGAAACATTTTAAAATAATACAGAAAAAAAGTTTTTTAAAGTTGTTTGTTTTTTGAGACAGCGTCTGTATAAATAGCCCTGGCTGGCCTAGAACACCATATATAAACCAGGCTGGCCTCAAACTCACAAAGATCCTCCAACTTTTGCCTCCTGAGTGCTGGGATCTAAGTTATGCACCTCTGTGCCTAGCCTGACACAGAAAAGTTTTAAAGAAAGGAAAATACATGAGACAAAACCAACCAGAAGAAAACTGAGATCAGCAAAAATCAACTGTACCAAAAAAAGTAGTAGTAGGTACAGAAAAAACAGCTTCAAAATACAGAATCAAGCTGGGCATGGCAGGAGTCCATCATTCCAGAACTTCTCCATTAAAGCAGGAGGCAGAGACAGGCTCCCTTGCAAGCAAGCAATCCTCATGAAACATATATGTCTGCCCTTACATATTTACACACAATAAGTAGATAAACAAATAAATAGACGTTTTAAAGGGGGACTGGGTAGGTGGGTCAGAGGTTGAGAGCACTTACTGCTATTGCAGAGGATCTGAGTTCAGTTCCCAGCACCCACATTAGGTAGTTACTATCTGTAGCCAGGTCTGGGGGATCTAGTGTCCTTGTCTGGCCTCTTTGGGGAACTGCACTCACCTGCACATACTGTCACACAATTAAACAAGCATAATTTTAAGATCTTAAAAAGAAATTTTAAAAAAGAAAAAGAGATGCTGGGCAGGTAAGAACACCAGATGTCCCCAGGACCTTGGCGGATGTTGAATAGACACCAACAGAAGAGCAAAGCCTGGCATCTTCAGCAGCGGGGTCAGGAGAGCTCGTGGAATGGCGTGTTAAAAGGTGATGGTAGGGAAGACTGGACCAGGGGCAATCACAGTGACAACTTCCATGTGTCTTAGAGTCCCTTCATCCACATGGCAGTGCTGTAGAACAGAGGTTTTGCATCAACCAACAGAACTCTGTTCTTCAAAGAAAGTTCAAAGAAATCTTTCTCATTGTGGTACTCTACCTCCAGGATTCCCCAAAAGACTAGCCACTAGTCACATATAGCTGTTTAAATCTAAATATAAGTTAATTAAAATGAAATAAATTGTAAGATTCAGTTTCTCATTTATACTAGCCACATTCCAAGTGGTCAGTAGCCACATGTGACTACCACATTGGACAACTCAACTGTGGAACACTGACTTAGAATAATAAGGTTGTTGCCGGCAAGTACTTTAAAAAGAAGTCAATAAAAAAATTTTAATTATATGTATGTATTTATTATGTCTAAGGTGGGGTACATGTATACCATAGCATGCATGTAGAGGTCAGAGGCCAACTTTCAGGGTCTCCCTCCACCATACAGGCCCAGGGATTGAACTCAGGCTTGGCTGCAAGATTCTTTACCTACTGAGTCATCTAACTGGCCCAAGTAATTCTGAGGATAACAAGACACTGACAAGGACTACCCCCTGTTCTCACTTCTTTCTGCCACTAGCATCAGACTAGGCTCTGGATCTACGAATGGAAAGTCTGCCCAAACAGCTGGAATCCTGGTCTATGAACTGAAGGGCAGTCTGGGAACATATGCCCTAGAACGCCCTGCAGGCAGGAGTGTGGGAGAAAGGAAGCAGGAGGGACAGGAGAAACTGTTGGTGTCAGAGCCCTTAAGGGATGTTCAGCTAAGACAGCGAGCACGCTAACATCGGTGTGTGTCCACCCTGTCGTGCACCTGGTGGTTAGATTTAACCAAAAAAAAATGTTGTTGTTGTTGTTTTTTTCTTCCCTTCTGCAGACCTATCCCCCTTGGTTCTGTTGTGGTGGTAACCAGCCAACTCAGTAAGACTGAAGGAAGGAAACTTTTTATTTCCTGTACTGTTCAGAGTGTTGATGAGAAGACGTTATACACACAGGCAACAGGTGAGAAACTGCACTGTCTCTGGTTTGGGAGGTTGGCCTGGCTCAAGGTTACTTCTGCTTTCATTTCAGAACACACAAAACAAGTTAAATGTTTTGGATTGGGTTTTAGTTTGAGTGTTTGAAACAGGGTTGACATAGCCTGGGATGGCCTTGAAATCGCAGCAAAGGAGAACCCTGAACTCCTGACCCTGCCCCTCTACTTCCGGAGTTCTGAGTGTGGCTTGAACCACCCGCCACACCTGACTTAGGTTTTCTTTTTGTTTTTCTTTGGGGCGGGGGAGGTTCAGTGCTGGATCAAACCCCAAGGCTTTGTACATGCTAGGCAGGCACTCTTTCACTGAGGTACACACCCAGCCCTGTGGCTAAAGGCATTCTTACCTATTGCTAAGGACCTATTCACCAATATCTATTACAACTGGAAGTGAGATAACATTTGATCTAGCTCCAGGACTGTGTCTCATAGGTATCATAGGAGGTTGCTAGGCTTCAAGTACTGTGCATCCCTTACTTGCAACTGCAAAAAAAAAAAAAAAAAAAAAAAAAAAAAAAAAATGAGCAAAGCATTGACTCACTTCCATGGAAAACTGGCTAAAGAACTACAGCTCTTCTCCAGTTTATGCTGTGAAGCGAGTTTACTAACATATACTGGGTGAGAGCCAGAGAGGGCGGGGCAGAGATCTAAGTCAATATCACTGGCCTAGAGTGAAAGGCAGAAGTCCTTCCATTTCTCCCCTTTGCTCCCCTCCCTCCCTGTATTTATTGTAAGAGCCATTATGTAGACTTAGATGAGGTAAGCCCAGGGACAGGGAGACCCACACACACACACCAGGGAAGAGCAGCAACAGTGGCCAGCAGTGTCAGCCTGGACAGGATAAGGAGGATATATCACAAGGGAGTAGCTCACCACAAGATGCCAAAACCCAAGAAAGGTGTGCCGGGAGCATGGCAGCAGTGATGGGCGCAGGCTCACTCTGACACAGTCACAGAGAGGGAGAAAATCGTAATTAAATCCTGTGCTTACACGGGAGCTAGAGACACTCAGTGGACATGTGGGTTTTCCCAGTCTGTTGTTCTTCCAAATAGTGTAATAACTTTTGAAAAGTCATTTTATGCACACTTTGCTAAATTATTCTCTAGTAGTTCGGAGAGAGATATACCTTTGTGCCAACTTCACAATTTTTCTATAAACTTGAAATTGTTCCAGAGTAAAAACTATGAAATGGGAGGATAGGCAAGTGTCTACGATTATTTGCATGTACATAGACAGCTCTTGGGAGGGCACAGAGACTATTCTGGAAAGGGGACTGGGTGGGCAGTTTACTGTAGGCCCTGTGTATATCCTGAGAGTAAGACATGAGAAATGATTACTGGGAAGGGAGTTGAACTTAATGGGTCCCAAAACTTAAAAGAAGCCCAATTTATTAAAAAAAAAAATTCAACATTTGGTATAAACCTGAAATTTTAGTTATGATGAGAAAAGAAACCACAACCTATTTCTGCTGACTTAGAGATGCAGGCTCCTTCCTACTGAGCTCTCTGTAGGCAGCGAGCCAGAAATCTTACCTAGAAATGCCTCCTGTTCATACTTTGAGCACTGCATCCAACAGGACTTTGCAGGCAGGGCCCTGGAAGCCTCAGTTTCAGGTGCAGGTGGCCTACCCAGCTCTAGTTGCATTTTCCTACATTATCTAGTGCACTTGTTTATGCTAATCGTAGTTCTTGAGTTATGACGTGGTCCCCACTGGAATATAGCTGTTCATCTTTTATTTATTCATCTACTAAACATAATAATAAATAATACCCTAGGGCCTACCACCAAATAGGAATCAGACTCTTAGTTGTATTTTATCTCTACATACCCCATCTTTTCTTCCTGTTTAATGATAACTCTGATCTTGAATTTAGTAGCTTGTATTACTTTGTAGCTTCTAGCTTTTATTTTTAAAATTTCCTTAAGAATGCTTGAGTCTACCAGGTGTGTAGGAGTGCACACCGTTAGCCCCAGTAATCAGGAGTCAGAGGAAGGCAGATCTCTGAGTTTGAGGCCAGTCTAGTTCTAGTACAGCCAGGGCTACACAGACAAATCCTGTCTCCAAAAAAAAAAAAAAGAAAAAGAAAAAATGGTTGAGTAAAATGGTTCATAATCATAATCCTGCATTCGGGAGTCTGAGGCAGGAGGATTATGAGATTAAAGCCAACATGAGCTATATGGTAAGACTCTCCCTCAAAAAAGAAAGAATAACATACATCTAAGGGGTGTGTTCTTCAGTTGTTCATTGTTAACTTTGTAGAAAGAGATAGTGATGTGTGGCTTTTCTGGGTTTGGTTTTTATTTAACTGTACGTTGCTAAGATTCAGTCCCGGTCTGGGCTGTGCGGTCCCTTATTTCACTTCTGAGTAATGCTCCATTAGCCATCCCACCGCAGTGACTTGGCTCATCTAATAATTGTCCCGCGCTACCGTCTCGCCAGCAAGAACCACGCGGTACACATAGGATACTTCTGCAGTAAAGCTTTAATGCCCCTTGGGAGAGCGGGCATCAGCCAACATGGCGGAGACTCAGATAAGATGGAACCCATCCCTTATATAGGAAACAGACCCTGCTTTGGACGTGTCACTCTTTGATTGGTTCACTGCCCATTATCCCAGATGATGCCTCGGGAGTAGGCAGGGACGCAGCGGTAGAGTTACCAAGCACGTGCGCTGGGATTAAAGGTGTGTGCTACATCACCTTGAACTCACAGAGATCTGCTTGTCTCTGCCTCCCAGGCATTGGGACCAAAGGCATATACTACCACGCCTTGAGGTCACAGAGGTCAATCTGCCTCTGCCGCCCAGGCATCAGGACTAAAGGCGTGTACCGCCACACCTTGGGGTCACAGAGGTCAATCTCTACCTTTGTTCCTAGAAGCAATGGAGAATGTGGTCCGGCCCTCCACATATCCCCCTTTTTTACTTCTTTGCAGAAAGGCAACTCCCTAGGAAGGTAAAGATAGAGGTCGCACTTCCCAAAATGAAAACATAAAAATGGGCTTACACGGAATCTGTCCCTAGGCTCATGACACCTGGAACCTATCCGGCCTGCCCTCTGCCAATTTTCTGGGAAAGGGAATATACGGCAGGAAACCCTTAAACAGAGCGACTTATCTCTCAGAGAGGGCCATTCTCTGTGTGATGCTCTTCAGCTCGACAACCTTCAGGGCTAGCTAAGCCAAGCACTCCACCCTGTGCAATGGACCACAGTCCTAGGGGTGCAGGAGCTGGTTGGCTTAAACCTTACTGCTTTAACATAAATAACTACACATCAGTAGAGGCCCCTGTTTCAGGGCAGCCAACGCTTGTGCAATAACCACTTTGTCCCTACGATTTTGGGATTTGAGTCAGCAGACCATCCAGAGGAGAAACACTAATCCATAGTATAGGACTGTTCCAAAACATTTCCACCCCCACCCATTCTTTGAAGTAGGGGAATGAGAGACACGGCCCAGGACTGGAGTCCTACGGCCAAGCTTATAAATCATCTCTAGGACGGTAGGGAGGGGGCCCAGAGTCTTAATGGTTGTAAAAAATCGGGGAGACACCGCCATCCTATGGTTGACTGGTAACAGCTTCAGGAAGGCTGAGAGTGTCCTCCATCGGTGTTCTGTCATCCATCCGCAAAATGGCAGGAGGAACAGCAGCCAGGTCCTCAGGCGAATCCGTGTGTTATGGATCACTCTTCACTGTTCGGGTCAATCGCTCTGGCAGCCAGAATGGGCTTTCTTGATCCTGTGGGAAGACACAAACAGCTCCCCTGGATCTCAATAAGATGGGATCCGGGCCTTTCCATTCATTAGAAAGCATATCTTTCCACTTAACCAAATCTTTGGGCCGCTGCGGATCCGAACAATGTCGTGTTGTAGCATTTTGGCCATTATCATCCAGATTTAAAAAATTTATGGTGAACAGAGCCATGGCGATGGCCATTCTTGGCATCGGGGGCAGTTCCTTTATTATTCCCCCCCTTTTTGTTTAAATAGATATTTATCCAATTTTTAATTTAAATAACCATGGCATTTTGTAACCTGTCTTGAAGATACCCATAGTGTTTAGCAGAAATAACTGACAGGATAAGGGAAACTGATAGCAAGCAATAACTGACAAAACAAGGGGAAATCCAGCAGCATAGCAATGGCACAGCAACAACAACATTGCAATGTACAACAACAACACAGCAATAACTGACAGACCAAGGGCAGGAGCTGGACCATCCCTCAGGAACCCGCCAGCTCCGCAGCAATCAGGCCAGACAGCTCCATAGCAGAGGCTTTGTCCTCAGGCCTCTGGACAGATGAATCCACAGCATGAATAGTAGCATTTCTAGAAAAAAAAAAAAACAAACAAACTCTTCTCCCAAAATAACATTTAAGAGTATTAAAAAACTCAGTGTAAAAATTTAGCACAGTCAGTACTGGAAGTAGGCTGGTCTTGAACTTAGAGACCTATAGGTCTCTGTTCTAAAGAGCAATCTTGTTTGTCTGTGTCATTATAGTAGGCCTTAGAATTAAACCATTTTAAATCTGGCACAGATGAGATTATTGTTTTAAAAATATGAGAAAACCGTTTTCCTGTTTCCAGCCTGGAGTCCTAAGATGACGTGGCCATTGGGGAACCCATATGGGGATCTCTGTTTTTTACGGTATGGGCCGTGTTGCCCCAGTGGCGCCTAGGAAAAACCCAGGCCCTGTTTGTTGATATTAGATTTAAGATTTATTGGCTCCCGTATTTCTTGCTGGTACGGTGGCCTCGGGCTCCAGAGCCCGCCCGTCATCCAAGGGCTGTGTGCGGCCCTGGGCCTGCTCGCTGCGCAGCTCCCTGTGTCCCAAGCCAAGAAGTGGCGGCTCCACCCCCAGGCGCCCCTGCCTTCCCCGCGGGGCTAGCCTCCTTCTCTGAGGTCTGAGGCTGTGTTGGTGGCGGAGTGTGGCGGGAGCCGACACCCAGACCAAGGCTGCACAGGCCGGCAATAACTCAAGGTCCGCGCCAGAGCCTGCGGCTCAAGGGGCCAATGGGAGAGGCGGCGAACAGGGCCGCTTCCCTACTAGCCAACTCTCAACACCTGTGCCACAGCAAAAGCGGCTGTAAACTCTCACAGATCCAGCCAACGACCCAATCACCCCAAAATCCAAGGGCCCTTCGCATCCATTTCCCTGCGGAACCCGAAACACCAGACAAGCCAAGCGTATACATAGCAATCTTTCAGGAGGACTTGAGTTCTTAAAATGTTAAGCTGTTCTTAAAAACTTAAGTCGCACTATGTAGATGTAATACGGTACTGCCTATTTACTGCGTCTAAACCTTAATTGCGCTTTTATTATGATAAATACGACCAGCCCTGCCTGAAGTCAGCATCGTTTAGCATAGCCAAATGGAACCAGAGTCATTTTAGCCTCAGAGACCCTCAGTTTTAGGTACATTGCAAGGTACAATTAGGTACAATTCTGGCCTGGCAGCTTGTGGCACCACTCTCATTCTCGGTACGTGACACCCTCCAGGCCAGGCACCAACTGAGCCGCACCAATTGAGCCGGCGCAACGTGCTCCCCACCATAGCCACAGAGCAAAGCTCCGCTCCAGCCGCCCTCCAGCCCCAGCTGCACCCATTCCGAGCCCAAACCGGTGTACGGAGCAAAGCGGAACTCAGAGAAGCAGGCTTGCTGCTCTGCAAGGACCTCATTTAATCTTTTAGGGAATTTGGGCGTCGTTAGTCTCTGGCTGCTTCCTGCTGTTATTGGGCCGTTGCATTCTTAGGGGTATACACTACAACATTTCAGGAGGTCTCGGTGATTCAAACCACATAAATCCCAAGTACACCCTTAGGCTCTCCTTTTCTGTGGAGACGAAAACAGAACCTCTTTCCCAAAACATCATATCCTTAGCAGTTTCTAAGTTTAAATATCTTTCTCCTATCCAGTACACAAAAGACAACACATATAACATAACATAAAGCTTTTGACCTTGTAAATCAGCCTTCTCTCCCATTTTTACTTTTTTAAAATCACTGGGAGGTCCTTTTTAACTTATTTTCTTTTCTGTCTCCCCCATTCTTTACCGGAGGGTCATTTTTTAACTTATCTGGGTGCGCGCACAACCTCCCACTGCTGCTCAGTTTCTGATATGCTCTCTGTACTTTAGAACGTACCTCTCTGAGCACGCATTCCTGCAGTTCTGAATCCTCCTTGTGTCCAAGGGGTCTCCGGCGGTGCAAAGTTCTTCTTTTTCTTCTTCTTCCCGGGTATCGGCACCAGATGTCCCGCGCTACCATCTCGCCAGCAAGAACCACGCGGTACACATAGGATACTTCTGCAGTAAAGCTTTAATGCCCCTTGGGAGAGCGGGCATCAGCCAACATGGCGGAGACCCAGATAAGATGGAACCCATCCCTTATATAGGAAACAGACCCTGCTTTGGACGTGTCACTCTTTGATTGGTTCACTGCCCATTATCCCAGATGATGCCTCGGGAGTAGGCAGGGACGCAGCGGTAGAGTTACCAAGCACGTGCGCTGGGATTAAAGGCGTGTGCTACATCACCTTGAACTCACAGAGATCTGCTTGTCTCTGCCTCCCAGGCATTGGGACCAAAGGCGTATACTACCACGCCTTGAGGTCACAGAGGTCAATCTGCCTCTGCTGCCCAGGCATCAGGACTAAAGGCGTGTACCGCCACACCTTGGGGTCACAGAGGTCAATCTCTACCTTTGTTCCTAGAAGCAATGGAGAATGTGGTCCGGCCCTCCACAAATAATGGCCTCTGCGCTTGCTGGGCATGTTCATGTCTGTGTCCTCTGCGCGGCAGGAGCTTGGCATCTGCCTAGAAGCACAGTTTCTGGTTGTAGAGTGTATAAGTGCTCAGCTTTGCACGGGAGCCCACCTTGTCAAAAGCTGCCCCCAAATGTATGACATTCTTTTGATCCCTGTCTTCTCTAGAAGTTGACAGATTTTTCAATTTTTACCAAAAAAGCTTTTAAAATACAGTTTTTTTCTTTTTGAGACAAAGTCTCACTTTGTAGACCAGGCTGGCCTCAAACTCACAGAAATCCACCTGCCTCTGCCTCCCAACAGCTAGGATTAAAGATCTGCATCACCATGCCTGGCTAAAATGGAATCTTAGTGTCATTTAGATTTACATTTACCAGGTAGCCTTTAAAGTTGAATATGTCTTCATATGTTCATAACCATATTTGTTTCCCATTGTGTGAAATTCCTGTTGGTTCATATTCTCTTTTTTCTTGTTTTCACCAATTTCCAGGAGTTCTATAGTTACTTTTGGTTAAACCTATGTTGGATAGGTAGACACTCCATACAACCTCCAGTGTGTAAAATGGTTTTATTTGCTCTAAAACATCTCTTTATGAACAGAAGTTTGTAATGTTAGTGTAGTCCCAGTTAGTAGATTTTTCCCTTTACAAGTAATAATGCTTTTCATACTCTGTTTAAGAAGTCCACTTCCCCGAAGTGTCAGCTTTTCACGATGGGTAAGGGAGAGGAGGATGGCATAGTGGTCTGAATCCACAGTCGGTTTGCAGCGCCATTCCAGTTCTTTCTCTTCTACATTGCTTCTGTTGCTATGATAAAACACCCCGACCAAATGCAGTCTGGAGAAAGAAAAAGTTTACTTCAGCTTACTCTTCAGGTCACAGTCCACCACTGAAGGAAGCAGGGCAAGAACTCTAGGCAGAAGCCATCAAGGACACTACTTCAGTAAGCAGGCTCCTGCCTAGCTGCCTTAGACAGCCCAGAACTGTCGGCTCCCACAGACCAGTCTGATGGGGCAAGCCCTCAATTGAGACACCCTTCTCGGGTATCAGGGCTGTCAGGTTACAGTTAAAGCTTGTCAGCACGCTCACAAAACCTTCCATGTCAGTTGGTCAGTTAGGTGTCATTTCCCAGGCTTCCTCTTGAGAGAAGTATTAATGGACCATGAAATAGTGGAGTATAGGGGAGGGAAGGGCCTTTGACAGTCAAAAATTGGTTTGTTTAGTTTTGAGACAGGGTCTGACTGGCGTGGAACTCACTATAGAGACCAGGCTGACCTTGTACTCACACAGATCCACCTACCTCTGCCTCCCTCCCATGTGCTGGTATTAAGTGTGTGCACCGCCACCCCCAGTCAAAAGTTAGTTTTCTGAGAAATGAGAGTAGAAAGATAAAGATACAAGCAATCCCTTCCTACTGTCTTCCTGCTTGGCCTCATCAAATGGAAAACAGTTGACTTACAATCATCTATTGTTTTGTTGGTTTAGCTTTATTTATAAAACTGGATCCTGACAAACGTTTGACATAAAGAACTTCTGTTGAACTCCACACTGTTATGCATGAAGTCCCCAACCCAAGCAGCACCGGTCTCTACTCCTGTCCCAGCTGCTGAACCCCCAGGGGAAAACCTGCTCTCACGGACCCTTCAGAACAGCCTCTAAAACCCAGGGCTGCAGGAACTCGCTGTCTGCCTTCCAGACTTTTCATAAGAAGCACTCCCTGGAAGAGTCTCAGCAGTCATGTGTCCCTAGGACAAATGTCCTGAAATATGAACAGACTTCAAAGCTGACAACCCTAGTACCTGCTCCACTGCAGACTGCAGCAAAGGATTGCACTGAAACTTACTGCAAACATGGAAATGGAGTGGTGTGTGTGAAGTGTACGTGTACACGAGCACAGACTGCGTGTTACAAAGAGAGGTTTGTTGTTTGTGAACAAATATCTTTCTGGCCACCTTAGGGAACACAGCTCATTCCTATGGGAATGGATCCCACCTCTCTGTTGTCTAGGGTTCTAGTGATTAAACTGTTGTTCATTTTTTCCTCAATCTGTGCTATTGTATCTTACCTCACTGTGCTTGTCATCACTGGGAGAAGGCTCTGTTAGTTTTCTGGGACTGTAATATAGAACTACAAGCTAGGTGGTTTAAACCAACACAAACTTCACTGTCATAGTCCCAGAGGCCAGAAGTCTAAAGTTAAAGTATTAACCAAACCTTGCTCCTTCTGAAGGTTCTGGGCGGGAACTGTTTCACATCTCCTGGCTTCTACCAAGAGAGATTCCAGCATTCCCTGATTTTTAGACACAGCAATGGTTTCCCATTGTATCTCTCCATCATACTATTTCTGTGTTCCCTGTATCCAAATTTCCCTTTGAAAGAATTGAAAGGGTTTATTTCTCTCTCTCTCTCTCTCTCTCTCTCTCTCTCTCTCTCTCTCTCTCTTTCTCTCTCTGTGTCTGTGTGTGTGTGTGTGTGTGTGTGTGTGCAGATGCTCAAATAAATTGGGAGATTAATGTGCTAGAAAGCATTTACTTCTTGTTTTACGTTTATTTGAATATACATGGAGGGGGGCGTGTATGTGCCATGAAAGTGTATGTGTGGAGTTCAGAGTGTGAGGAAGCTGGTTCTCTCCTAATATGTGGGTTCCAAGGATTGAACTCAGGTCATCAGAGTTAGTGGCAAGCACCTTTATCTGCTGACCCATCTCTCCAGTCATCATTTTTTTTATTTTTTATTTTTATTTATTTACGTTGTTTTTCAAGATAGGGTATTTCTATGTAACAGCCCTAGCTGTCCTGGAAGACATGCACCACCACCACCTGACTTCTAGTCATCATTTGTTGTTTTTAATTTTGTTTTTTGAGATGGGACCTGGAGCTTTTTAAGTAGACCAGGCTGGCCTAGAACTCACAGAGGTCCACTTGCCTCTGCCTCCAAATGCCAGGGCTTACTTGTCACCACCTCATGGTTAACCATGGTATTTTGCTGCTGCTTTGTGCATTTGCTTTAAAGGTTTATTTTTGACCAGGTGAGGTGATGCACACCTTAAATCCTAGTGTTAGGAGTCAGAGACAGGTGAACCTCTATAAGTTCTATGCTGATCTATAGAGTGATCTATAGTGTAGTATCTATAGTAAAACCCTATCTTTAAAAAGATTTATTTATACATAAGCGTATCTGGGTGTGTGAGTGTGTAACATGCATATGGGTGCCTAAAGAGGACAGAAGTGTCAGATCCTCTGGAACTGGAAATCAAGCTCCTCCAGAAGAGCCATACTTGCTCTTTCTTGCCACACATCTTTCCAGCCTCCCATACTTTTTTAAATAATTTTTTAATAATTAATTTTTATTCTTTGATAATTTTATACATGTGTACAACATATTGGTCATTTTCTTCCTCAGACTCTCGCAGACCCTCACAGATCCACCCTTTTGCCTCCCGTCTTTGATTACTTTCTCTTTTTTAAAAATAACCCACTGAGTCCAGTTTTTGTTGCCCATGTACTCATGGGGTGAGGTCATCCACTGGAGCATGATCAACCTACCAGGAGCCACACTCTTTTAAAACAGTGACTCTCCCTTCCCCATGGCCACCTGCCAATGGCTCCTCAACGACGGCTGGGGGCTTGTGAGCCATTCTGGGATACTGGCTGGTTTGATCTTGTTACAGGTCTTGGAAGGGAACAACAGCTACTATGAGTTCATGGGTTCAGTGGTCCTGTTGTGTCCAGTCCTCCTTGACCTCTGGCTCTACCAGTTTTTCCATCCCCACTCCCACAGGAGTAGATATGATACAGATGACCCATATGTGGCTGAGCATTCCAGAAACACTTATGCTCTGTACTTTCAGCACTTGTGAAGTTCCATCCACTGCACAAGGAAATTTACCTGAGGTAGTCTGAGAGCTGCACTGATCTGTGAGTAGAGAGATGCTTTTAGCACAATAATAGTAGGCCTCATGGGGCCTACCAGTTCCCCAGCAATGGGTCCTTGGCCAAGCTTACAGTACCAGGTTGTATTTCCTCCTGTGGAGCAAGTCTTGAATCCCATCAGAAAGCAGTTGGTTACCCCATGACACTCATGCCACTATTGCATCCGCAGACACACCTTTCCACATCAGTCATTAGCTCACGGGGTCATATTTTGCTTCTTGGTGCAGGCAATAGATACTGTGGGGACTTCTGTTTCCTGCCTTTCCTTTTACTAAAAGTGTAGACTAAATCCTGCGAAACTGTCATTTCTGGGTGTCATAATGGTCAAGTGTCAACAACTTCCAGAATCTTGCTCTAGTAATTTTGGGATAGTTGTTGAGTCCCTACCTGTGAAGTCACGTAGGCCCTGATCTGTGAATGAACATAGCTCCTTTTCTAAACCAGGAACATGCTTGGCTGAGCCAGTTTTAGCCTAGGGCCAGAGCCTTGGGAGCTTTCCCCGGAGGCCCTGATATATGGAAAAGAAACACAGTTCCCTCTCTAAAACCAGCAATGTGCTTGGCAGAGCCAATAATGTCCTAGGACCAGGCCTTGAGGGAGCTGCAGCTTTGGATCCTGAGAACCCAACTCATTCCACCTTAAGTTATGGTTATCAGTCCCAAAGCTGGTGTGTGCTTGATTTGTGCAGCTCTTGAGATGCCCTGTATTCCCTTTGTATAACATTTCTTGGTTAGCTTCCTGCTGACTTCATCCCATTGTCTGATGGCTTTATGTTGACTTTGTCTCCTTTTTTCCCCACAAACTGTATATAAATTCTTTACTTAATAAACCTGTTGTGCATGAGCCATTGTGCACTTGTACAAGACCTCCGGATCCCAAACTTTCCTGCCTTCTTTATCTTCTCCTCTGGTCGTCATCCCCCAGGTCAGGTAGCCATGCGGTACCCCACCAGTCATTCTTCCACAGCCTGAGATTAGCTGGATGCTCCATCGTCAGCTGAACCTGGGGTGGTCAAACCACGGAAGGGACTCAGGTCCTAGGAGAAGTTCTGGTAGCCACCTGTAGCCCATGGGGTTGAACTTGGCAGCTGCCTCTCCGTGGAAACTCCAACAGAGTTTGAGGAAGTACCTGGGAAGTGGTGGAACTCACAGCTTTGTAAGTCACTTTGAGCAACAGCTACCATTTATTTCCGTTCACCCTTCCAGCTAATTCTGGAGTTCTGGGAGAGTGTTATGACAACTTGTATTTCTTGGACTTGGCCTGTTAGATGTGAAGCTGAAAGAACAATGTGCCATCACTGCCTGTTATCTATTACAGGTGGAAGTTGAAACGGTGCAGGTTCTTCACACCTGTCATTTGGCTTCACTGGACAGCCTTGTAGAACCTCCTAGCTGAAAGAATGCTGAGGAACATTCACACCTTTCTGTGGATCTCCTTTTTTCTCTCTAGCCCATGTCTCTCCCGGCTTCCATTCTCACAAAGTGAACTGCGGCATATGATCAAGCTCAGCCATGGAAAGTGTCAGCTGCTATTGGGGGGAAACTGTTTCCTTACTTTAGAGCAGATTTTGCAGGATCCACAAAACCTTGGCAGTCTTGTCTTCCGGTTGTATTTGACATGTATTTGAAACCACTATGTTAGTTTTTCATCATGATTAAAAGAAATAATTTGAAGAACAATTTGTTTTGTTTTGCTTGGGACTGCAGGCTAACTGTACCATGTGTAGCCTCTTCTGCCACAGGGGAAATGGCAGCCCTTCTACTGTGAATCTCCAACCTAACATTCCCCAGGTATCCCGACTTCGGAAGAATAGCAGACATCATTCTCCCTTCCCTAAGGAAGTTTGTAGACCTCAGATTGCTAGTCTCTGGGATTTCAGCAGGCCACCCATATAATGGGTGCCTTTCAAGTAGATGTGCTTCTCCTTAGAGTCTCCTTGGAGTCCTGCCTGCTAATATAAGACTCCATCTCCTCCTGCTTCCCACCAGAGAACTAGGGACAGCCGAATCTCTACATGAAGTCACCCCCTTCTGAGATTTATAAATATGGAACCTCCTATTTATTATAAATAAATAGAAATTAAATTAGAAATCTAGACTCAGGAGAAAGAAAGAGAAGAATAGGAGAAGAAGAATGAGGGACATGCCAAGGGCAAAAAGTCAGGCAGATACCAGACAGACAGGCAAACAGTATAGCAGTGAAAGTAAGATATACAGAAATAAGAAAGGTAGATAAAGAGAAACGGGTTAATTTAAGTTAAAAGAGCTAGCCAGAAAGCTAGGCCATGCATTCAAAATTAATGCTAAGTCTCTGTGTCATGGTTTATGGGCTGCTTGGTGTCGAAACAGAAAAGATGTGGTACAGTGATATATGTCAAGGATCTCCTGCTAATAAAACCATTTATAGTCATTTTTAAGTAATGAAGAGTATAGAAGAAGTGGATCTTTTTTTTTAAGGCACGTAGCTGTCCCAGAACTCACTATGTAGACCAGGCTAGCTTCAAACTCACAGAGATCCTCCTGCCTCTGCCTCCCAAGTACCAGGATTAAAGGTGAGTACCATAATGCCCAGCAAAGAAGTGTGTCTTAAATCAACCCTACCTGGAGTCGATTCTTGAATTTTCCTTTTTTCTATCCTACAAGTGAAGTCCAAGCACCTGGAAAGTAATAATCAGGTCCTTTTGTTAGAAGTTTCATTGCTGGAAAATATTAGTGGACACCATTTCCTCATAAAGCTTTCCAAAATCACAGCCATCAGCTGGGTTTGGTGACATGCTCCTTTAATCCCAAGACTTGGGAAGTTTTAGGCCAGCCTGGTCTACATATCAGGTTCTAGGACAGCCAGAGTTGCACAGTGAGACAATGTCTAAAAACAAACGAACAAGAAACCAAACCCCTCAACCGTCAAAAACAAATACTGCTATAGACCACTAGCAGACAACAGTTAAAAAGTTTTACAAGAACACAGCCAACAAAATCAAATCTTAAAAGAAAACTAGTTTGCAAATTCAGTATTAATTTACAAACATGTTTCTTTCTAAGATTTATTTTTATTTTAGTATGTATGTGGCAGAGGGTGTCTGATCCCTTGGAGTTGCAAGTGATTGTGAGCCAC